CAAACATTTCTTTAATTATGCTTTCCACCCCAAATACGCAAAAACGATAAAGGGAGGGGCCGTAAATACTCACCTTGAAGTAGTGAATGCGAAATACGGCGATAACTTGAATCTTGGTCCGATGGTTATAAGTGCCCTATAGAAAACATCAAGCTTATAAGTCCAAGATGCTAATTCTTATGGCCAAGCCTAACTCTATATCCACATCTTATATAATGCTATCATAATGGTTTTCATAAGCAAGTTTAAAAAAAAGTTTCAATACTTTATCTATACTACATTAATAAGCATTTAAGACAAAGTCTTAACTACAAGACTTCAAACACAAGGTACATCCATTTTATGCAAGAATTTCAAAAATCTCTTAATTACAACTCATAAAGGAAGATGTACAAGTTTTGTATGCATTGATTTTAAATGCAATGGTCAAACCTTGCTTTCTTGGCTTCTCTTCCTTTTCCAGCATTTCCCTTCTGTCAAGACCCATTTGGGTAAAGTCAAAATGTGTTTTCTTCTTTATCCTGCTTCTTCATCTGTGAATGGCTCTCATCATCTTCTTCATTAGCCAACCTATTTGGCCCCTTCTCCTCACCATCGATCTCCCCACTTCCAGGATCCTGCTCTTCATCATCATCGTCATCAATTACATTGTCAAAATCAACCCCGTACCTAGTTTGATATGAATAAGGGAACCGAGTAAAAGTATGATTCATATGGAGTTTTGGGTGTTATTATCTTCTGCAAATGTAGATACACAGAAAGATAAATAAACTAAAACAATTGCACTTTATGGTCTTCCATTATATACAAAACATCAAGAAAAGGTATGCATAAACCCCTGTGTTTACTGTATTAATAGTTTTTTTTTCTAATATTTTCTATTCATCAATGCTTACAATTTAAAGGGAATACACCCCCACCATCTTCACAGTAATCTTCATCCTTGTATGTTTAATCTTCATCCTTGTATGTTTCTTTTTGTATGTATGAACAAAGGCAGCCATGAAAGGAAAAATAAAGGAGAAATTTGCAGAGCATGCAAACACCATTAAAGCAAGGTATGTTAGATTCGCAACTTGTGTATTGTAGTTTTACGGAGTTGTTTTTCCTTATTCACTATGCATCGAGAAAATTGTCGTCTTCATTGTGCCTGGCCGTGGAGAGAGTGAAGTATATCAGTAGTATTGTTCCCATGCTTGACCTATCAAAGTTGATACACATTGACATTGTTAGTTCAAACAAAACCAAATCAACAATAACAATCAAGAAACACTTCTAACCATCAAACATGTTAAAGTTTTTCAACTGTCTTTCTCACTTACCTAAACCTTTACTCGTATGGTTGAAGAGACTTGTTCTTGTTCTTCACAACCTCCTCTAATTTGCTGCATAGGCTAAGGTTTATCAGGATTTTTGACAAACAGATTCACCAAGTCTCTTTGCGTAAGAGCATAAATTCTACTCTTATTTATAATATAGATGTAAATTAAAGTTATATTTCTAATATACAGGTAAAATTGAAGATGAATATGAAGGATAGAGTAGATGCGTAGTACCAGGAAGATGATTGGGATTGCCCCGTTGATGAGACAAAAGTTTTGAGAAACAAGAAAGAAAGACCACCGGCAACCGCCACCGTCGGACCACCAAATTGGACATCCATGTTGTCACCGGAGAAACAGAGGAAGAGCAAGGACATCCAAAAACCCAAGTTTATCCCTCTCTAGATTTTTTCTCTCAAGGTTTCTTTGTTCTTTTGGGTTGTTTTCTGTTTTTCTTGGCTCTTGTGGATGATCTTTCACCTCCTTTGGAGGATTCATCTCATAGGAAGACTCGAAAGACTAAGAAAAATCTCTGTCCAGATTTCCAATCTCCAAATTTTCGTTCTTTCCTCATGAAAAATGGCCTCACCTTTCGTTCATTGATTGAACCCAAAACCTCCTACGGTTTTTTGAAATCTGCCCTCTACCAAAAACCGTGAGAAGCTTGGATGAGCCAACCACTGATTCTGAAAAGTTGGAAGGACCTTTCACTGTTTTGGAAGATGGTACGCTGTTGTCTTCTACGGCTATGGATGGGTCAAAAGGTAACACCTTTCACTGTTGTTTTGGAAGGACCTTTCACATGCAAGGGATTGGGTCACAGATTTGTCTTCTATGTCAAAATCTAATATTTCCCGAAATCAATGTAGAAATAAATAAGGTTACCAACTTACACCAATTTAAATAAGAGATGCTCCATCCATGGCACAAAAAGGTATTGTCATGTTTGACAAGATACATAGCACATGATAAAGTTTCAATTCCAAGTAAAATCTATAAAATAACACTCCATAATGAAAGGGTAATCTTGTGGACAAACATAAATACAGTAATGTTTTGCAAGGATTATTGTGGGTGAAAGGTTCCTTTAGCTTAAAATTTTGCAGAAAAAAGGAAACATCATTTGCATAACAAGAAATTGCTGCAATTTTATGCAAGAAACTTCTAAAAAAGTTAAGAATCCACAACAATTAAACCTGCAAATGATATTTCAGTGTCAACATGTAGCTCCATGCTTTTGAAAGAGGGAGTATAACAAAATTGTTTATCCACTCATCTATCTAATACTTTTAATTTTAGAGGACTTGGTGCATTAACAATTCAATCAACCACTTCAATTATCATCTCCTTCGATTCTCTTCAGAACACTTGAAAATCGACGCATTTGTTTCATACATTCGTTTGATGAACATTTGGGAGGAAATTAAAGAAACAAAATTGAATTCACCTTAAGAGATTGAGAAGAGCCATTGACGTCGGTTTTAACACACCAAACCCTAACTCTTCTGAATCCACACACCTGAAAAACAAACAAATTAACTCAAAAACATCAATTTCAACAACGTAAAACACAAATCGCGATAAATAAGGAGACGATACCGAAGTAGGTTGATGAGAGGAGTGAAGAGATGGAGAAATTGAGCTAATCGAAGCCAAAGCAAAAGCTCCATAGACCTCCATTGTATTTGAGAAGTGTAATTACGACAAATATTTGGAATAGAGTGGGAAGAAGCTGATGTTTTGGAGGTGGAGGTGGAGGTGGAGGTGGAGGTGGAGGTGGTGGTGGTTGTGGACMACAATGGTGGATGAATCATCGTGTTTGCATTTGAACCACATTARACATATTCTTCATATCTTATTGTGGTACCCACTATTGATCTAACTACGAATCATCTTATGAAGGCTGGTTTAATTTTGAATCATGTACGGTTATTTTACAAATTAATTAATATATAAAATTGAAGATTAATATAGTAAATTAATAAGATCGATTGAAAAAATAATTACACACAYGTTGAGTTTRTAAACTCATATAAAGTTGAAGGGTTGRAGTGAGGTACATGCAGGATCTGAAGYCTTTCTGATATTGTTGCTTCAAATTTCAGTTACTTCAAGAGAAAGAAGAATTTTGAGTTTGAATTTAGGTTCAAAATAGAAAACAAACAAAGTGTCAAATAATTTTGGAAAGACCAAACATACTTTCATATAAGTATGGTTTATTTAAGTCTGAAACTTTGATCAAACAAATGGTATGTTTTAAAGATTTGTACATTATGCATAATAGTTTGTACTTAAGAAATTTTTGAATCTCTTGTATAAATTGATAATACTTTATACTTTCAAACTTGTAATTAAGACTTTTGGTCTAAATGCTTATCAATGTAATATAGATAAGAAGAAGAAGAAGAAAGCGGCTCAATGTGGTAATTTTAGAAGTATGTAAAGAGAAAGCAAGTTTGACTCAATTAGGATTTGGTGTTGCATAAACAACTTGTACATTATGCAAAACATTTGGTAATTAAGAGATTTTTGAATTCTTGCATAAAATGATGGTACTCTATGCTTTAAAACTTGTACTTAAGATATAGGTATAAATGCTTATTAATGTAGTATAGATATACTATGAAAAAATATTTTTAATATTTACACTTTATACTTTTATAGTTATTTATTTAATTTACGATACATCATTTATTGTTTCAATTTTCATTTTACACCATTATCACATTGAAATACATAATTTTATATTAACTAAAATTAGATCTAACAACGAAATTAACCTTTCAGAAAGCATTTTCATACTCTTATTCATCTTGTTCATCTTACATACTCATTTTTTAATATACTTTTTAATTTTAAAATTATACTTCATATTCTGTAGTTATCTAATTAATTTATTTTTATAGTTTTGTTTTTTCTATTTTTTGTTCTATACCCTTATCACATTAAGATACATAATTATATATTAACTAAAATATGTTAAAAAATATGTTCTAATTTTAACAAGTTAAATCATTATAATCGTCTTGTGCAATTAGTTTTTCAGAAACCCAATGCGTGTACAATTATTTTTTCATTCGATATTGCTAATACATCGTATTAACCTTCAACTTTATATATTAGTTGACATACAGAATAACCACACAAACTCATGATTCAAGCCCAAACTACTGTTTCAGATTTATAATTTACCCGAATTGCATCGCGCGGGTACACCACTAGTAAGTACATATACATATAAATATGAGACTTAAAAAGTAAAAAAAATCAACTTTTTGGGCATAACACAGTTTCTGTCAAAATTCTAAGTCCACAAAAGGATCATTTTTGGGTATCTTCCAAATAGACAAAGTTTATTAAATTTTTATCAACAGAAGTTTAGTGAGTTAAGACTATTCTGACCAAAATTCATGACATTTTGAGTTGCTTAAGTCATCCAAATGAATTTTGCAAAATAATGGTACACAGTACCAATAACAGATTTCATACATTCAATAATGCATTCGTTTGGAAGTTTGAATCTTCACCATTTTTAGAAATTCAAATCGGGTTTTAAAGCTAACCCATAACACTAACAAATGAGATAAAAATCAGTTAAATCCAACCATTTTTGAGAGAGATATGGCCATCTAAACAAGCATGTATGAATCTGCCATTGCTGGATAGATTGCGCAATCTTTTTGTTTTTGATGTTTGCACCCTTAAAACTCAAAATATTTGGATGATTCTGAATGCTACAGAAAACTAACCCATTAAACTTGATTTTCAAAACAAAAATCAAGTATTTTTGCTAATTTTATCAAGAGATATGCATGCAACAAGTTAACTAAAAATCCTGACCACAGACAGATGCACACGAATTTTGTTCATAACAGTTGAGGGGTCAAACCTCAATGTTTTCTTATGAATCCAGTTGGAACAAAAATCTGACTCAATGAATATGATTCTCAAAAGAAAAATTAAAGATTTTGGACTTGTTTAGACCAAGTTATGGTCGTCCAAAGTCAGACTTAAAATTCTGACAGCAACCAGAATACATTTTCTTGTCAAAACCAAACTTTTGAGCATTCAAATACTCAAAAATGGTGGTTTCTTTTGCAAAGGCTTATTCTTACCACCACATAACATAAATGACAGAGTAAAACACCCAAAATTTGGGAATAATTATGCATGTAAAGACCCCCAAATTCAGATTCTGATTTTTGATGCAAAAATACCCATTTTTGGAATATTTTTCACAATTTCTTGTATTCTTTGATGGAAGTTCCTAGATTTTCACCACTTATGGATATTTTTCATATGTTTAGGTGTTCAATCTCAATTCAAGAACATCAAGAATGTATCATTCTACTTGAAATGTAAATAAGTGTGGAAAAACATCAAGAAAAGGCACTAAAAGTGCTCCAAATGACTCAAAAATGCAATGATATAATCATACCTCTAATTGTATGATGATGAACACTTGGTACTTCAAAATATCGATTTTTATTGGATGAAAAAGTGGTTGGAATCTGCTGTCTTCTTGAAGAAAGGATTGAATGTGGTTTAAGCTTAGAGAGAGAGGGAGAAATATGGATGGTTCCTTCCTAGAGAAATGAAGAGTGTTTTTGAAAATTAAGAAAAAATTAATGATATGTATGTGTGTGATGGGGGTGGCCGGCCCGTATATGGGCCCCCATTTTAATTTTAAATTTTTTTTTTAAAAAAAACCCACAACTTAACAGATACGAAAATCGTTTTATCGCGTAAGCCGTTTTCTCCTAAAACGCACTCTAAATTAGCTTCAATATTTAAATAAAATAAATTTTCTTTGTAGAAATATAAACTCCATATTTAATATATATAAAATATTAATTTGTGAAGTTTGGCATTATATAAGGTGTTTCAGTCAGTTACGGGCCGAAACCGGAATTTCTAAGTAGTTTTTGGGATTTCTACGCTACTGCCGGAATTTTAACAGACTCTTGCCTAATTCAATCTAAATAGATTATAACGAAGGATTTTTACTAAAATAATACTAACAAGTGCTTATCAGGTGCTAACCTGAGATCTGAGACTTTGCTGGATGTCACAGTTTCCCCCTGTTAAGGAAATTTCGTCCCGAAAATTTAATGATTGCTACTTCCGGATAGTTCTTTCGTGAATAGTTGGGGATATTTGTTCTTCATAAAATCTTCTCGCTCCCGGGTATACTCCGTCTATGCCTTGAGTTCCAACGAACTTTCACGATTGGTATCTTGCTATGCCTCAATCGCTTGATCTCACGGTCAAGAATTTCAACTGGTTCTTCTATAAAGCGTAACTGTTCGTTGACTTGGATCTCTTCCAAAGGCAGGACTAACGATTCTTCTGACAGACATTTCTTGAGATTCGATACATGGAAGGTGTTACGAATGGCATTGAGCTCTTGCGGTAGATTGAGTTTGTAAGCGACTGGTCCCACCCCTTCCAGTATCTTGAACGTACCAATATATCTTGGACTTAATTTTTCTTTCTTCCCAAAAGGTAATAGCCCTTTCCATGGTGATACCTTTAATAACACCTGATCTCCAACTTGGAATTCCAGYGGCTTCCTATGGTTATCCGCATAGCTTTTCTGGCGATCTCTGGCCRCTTTTAACCTTTCTTGGATCGTCTTGATCTTGTCTGTTGTCTCCTAAACAATGTCCGGCCTAGTTAATTGACTATCACCAACTTCCACCCAGTTGAGTGGTGATCTGCACTTGCGTCCGTAAAGAGCTTCGTCGGGTGCGTACTGTATACTCGTATGATAGCTGTTGTTGTAGGAAAATTCAACCAGTGTTAGCTGATCATCACAGCTACCTCCGAATTCTATCACATAAGCACGCAACATATCCTCTAACGTCTGAATAGTCCTTTCTGTTTGCCCATCGGTTTGAGGATGATAAGAAGTACTTAAATCTATCCTTGTGCCCATCACTTTTTATAGTGATTTCCAGAATCACGAGGTAAAACGACTATCTCTGTCTGAAATGATTGAAACAGGTACTCCATGACGCATAACGATCTCATTAACATACAGTTGTGCGAGTCTTTCTAAGCTGAAATCTTCTCGAATAGGTAGAAAATATGCAGATTTCGTGAGTCGATCCACAATTACCCAAATCGAGTCATTCCCCTTTTTGGTTCTGTGTAATTTGGTCACGAAGTCCATCGAGATCTGCTCCCACTTCCATTCTGGGATTTTTGGTTGCTGTAGGAGACCGGATGGTTTCTGGTGTTCCGCCTTGACTCTCGCACAAATCAAACATTTACTCACGTATAGGGCCACATCTTTCTTCATTCCTGGCCACCAGTAGTGCTCCTTTAATCCTTTGTAAAATTTATCCGTTCATGGGTGGATTGAGTACCTCGATTGGTGTGCTTCGTCCATGATTGTAGATCTCAGGTGGTCGACCTTTGGAATCCATACCCTATCTTTGAAGTAGCGTATCTCATCTGATCGTGCTTCAAACTTTTTCTCTACTTGATGCAAGGTCTCGTCCTTCAGATTTTCTGTCTTCAGAGCTTCTTCTTGGGCTTCGAGAATTTGAGCCTTTAAGCTTGTCTGTACCAACATTCCCATAGCTYGTGCTCTCGATGGCTTCACCCTTTCTTTCCTGCTCATAGCATCTGCTACAACGTTAGCCTTTCCTGGGTGGTACTTTATTTCACAATCGTAGTCGTTGAGTAATTCGACCCATCTCCTCT